GCTTTCGTGGTGCGACTTATATACTGTAATAACAATCATTTACACTGTGGAATTCGCCGATATGATTTGAAATGTATTTGAAACTCATTTGAAATTCGTGTTCTAATTTTAAACCACAACGCGAATTCCAAGGTGAAAAATTAATAGTTAAAAACTTATATGTTTGATGAGTGATGTGCATGAAAACATAAGAAATAAATAATTTTATTTTATAGAAGTACCTATAAGGTAGCAAACAAATTTAGAAGACCGCCCAGTGGTAAACGATCAGCGAAGCATTCGGACGCCTGTAACATCAAAGATATCACAGGCGTGTTGCCGCTCTTGTATAAATTTGTAGCAGCACATAAAAAGTAAAGCAGCTACAGAAGTTACTCTGTGACATGGACCTAAGTGACCAGAAATCTAGTCAGTTACTTCGCCGCATGAGAACCCTCGCTTGCAACAAAGTCTCCAACAGCACACTCCAATTAATGCAGATGAACCTGCTACCCCCGCACGTACGCTCAGTTCTCGTCGTAAGCGATACAATAAACAAGGATACCGCGCTGAATGAACTCGCTAAGCTCGCTGACAAAATGCTGGAATGAAATCATTATTTCCGGAACCGTGTTCGTCATTTGAATAAACGAATTAACTTCTGTGTTGTATCCTCATTGTGTGCTGTTACAAATTAAATAATGAATAAAACCTTGATAGACATAACTTTACAGTGCATATAAAAATATTAAAGGTGAGCTATATTAGTTAACATTTAATTTTGCGAAGATATATATAAACCATAATTATCCATCATTAATGATGATGTCAATGATGACCATATTGATACTGGTCTATATACTACTGGTCTATTTAAATGATGAAGTTCAGGTAACAGCCTACCACAAACTGCTATATTTTAATATAAATAAATATTTCCAACACTCACACCAATCAGCCTAGCCACAAAGTAAGCACTGAAAGACTTGTGTTATGGGATAATAGGGTAACGGATAGAATACATATACTGTACTATAAGTATATTTTATAGTAATACATATAAAACATCCATGACTGGAGTCGCCGACTCGAGACGACCCGGGTTCAAATCCCGATGTTCTTGTGATGAATACGATCATTGGTACTCCAGTCATGGATGTCTAATATGTATTACTATAAGAATATACTTATAAATGTACAGTATATGTATTCTACCCGTTACCCTAGTATCCCATAACACAAGTCTTACAGTGCTTACTTTGGGGCTAGGCTGTTTGGTGGAATACATACATTATCATTCCTGGAATGCACAAATTCAACCATATCACGCATCGTTTTGTAAACAAAGATTTAAATCGTTAGAAATGCCCTTACCATACTTTGACCGGACCAAAATCTGTCTACACTCAAATGAGCGAACTCCCATCTCATCATATCTTCTCTTATCAGTGTTCATCTGAACATAGTGACAGTTTGACGTTGGTGATTAAAATACCGCAGGCATCTATTTCGAGAAAAGTGTCTCAAAATGCCGTCGCGTGCCTTTCGAAGATGCACTTTCAATACTAGAAATACAAATAAAGCTAATGGTGTAACATTTCATCCGTAACTTTTTATTACTTCTTACTTTAACTTTTTATTACTTTCTTTCTACTACGTAAGATTGCATTAATTGGATGTTTAATATGTATTACTATAAGAATATACTTATAAATGTACAGTATATGTATTCTACCCGTTACCCTAGTATCCCATAACACAAGTCTTACAGTGCTTACTTTGGGGCTAGGCTGTTTGGTGGAATACATACATTATCATTCCTGGAATGCACAAATTCAACCATATCACGCATCGTTTTGTAAACAAGGATTTAAATCGTTCGAAATGCCCTTACCATACTTTGACCGCAACAAAATCTGTCTACACTCAAATGAGCGAACTCCCATCTCATCATATCTTCTCTTATCAGTGTTCATCTGAACATAGTGACAGTTTGACGTTGGTGATTAAAATACCGCAGGCATTTATTACGAGAAAAGTGTCTCAAAATGCCGTCGCGTGCCTTTCGAAGAAGCACTTTCAATACTAGAAATACAAATAAAGCTAATGGTGTAACATTTTATCCGTATCTTTTAAGATTGCATTAATTACTGAATTAATTTTCTTTAATTGTCATAAATATTGAAATCTGATCGAGCAGCGCATGACAGAGAACGTAGCGTTGAAAATTATGCAAGACAAAAAGAGACAACACTATTCTCTTGGTACCGCGCTGTGCGTTTTCACGTTTGTTCGCCCATGAAGTTTCATAAAAAATAGTTCTTAATCTGAAAGAACTAATGACTGTTCTTCATTCTCATTTTAGTGACGAGCACTTAGTCCTAAAATTTATTGAATCGGTAATCTTAGGGCATAGAATTAAAATTTTACAAAACTATATAATATTATGTATTATTATATATAGTTAATATAATATAATATCCATAATTATATTTAGGGCTTCCGGTAAAAAATTCACGTATAAAACATTTAATAATAATATCTCCCTCTTTTCTTTATACTTAGATGTCCCCGGCGAACTTCGTACCGCCCAAAAGTCGATGAATATGTTTATATTTAAAATTTTAAACTCAATTAAATTAATGATTTTACCCCTTCGGGCGTCTACGAAACCGTAGTTTTGTAACTGGTTTCGATAAAGAAATTCTGTTTCCTTGTACGTAACTAATTTCAATGGAGGAATAATATTCTTTGTAGGAAACCGCGATGATTGATCATGGTTACAAGGAATTAGTTGTTAATAATTTTTATTATTTTTAAAGCATGTAACTGCTTGATAAACATCAAGTCTAAAGAAAATATAACTAGAAAAAATTCCACGCGGACCAGGCAGCAGACGGGACTCTGCGGGTTGTGGGTTTACCTATAATGCGAAGAGATGGCGCTGCCTTGCAGCTTAAGAATAGCTAGAAGGAATTTCGACGCGGTCCGTGAGGGCCGCGGTAGCATAATTGGTCAGTGCATTCGCCCGGATTGCGAAGGATGCGGGTTCGAGTCCCGTCTGCTGCCTGGTCCGCGTGGAATTTTTTCTAGTTATATTTTCTTTAGATTTAAATTAGTTGTTAAGTTTTCGAAGAAAGAATTATTTTTCCTTGTACTACACTAGTTACGGAAAATTATTTCTTTCATGGAGGACTTGTCTTTTGTACAAGTAATTTTATATTAGTCAAATTAAAATTTATTGAAACCAGTTAAGGCTCTATTAATAAAATATCAATATTACAGAATAATTTATATTTTAAATTATGTTATATCCTTTTTAAACAAAATAATCAGTCCAAAAAAAAACAAAAATACATAGCATACGTGCATATGATTTCTAGGCAGTGGCCTACAGTTATTTTATTTACTTTTTATTCATTAATAGACTTCTGAACCTATTTTTATGTAGTTTTTAGACTTTGAGTCCCACATTTATGCACGTCTATTACTCATGACTCTTTGAAAATATTAAGGGGATTTTACAGCCGCACTAAAAAAAATACAAAAAATAAAAGGATAATATATCTATATAGACAAAATGACAATAACTTATACTTTAAAATGACAATAATTAATACTTAATAGTGTATCAGCGAAATTTAAAAGCCAGGGTTGCTATATATTTGCCTTATTCTTCAAACATGGACATCCCTTAATTTCTCAGTACCCGACAACTTCTTCGGAAATTAGTAATAGTTCTATATTTTTGGAAACTTAAACCAAATGGAGTAAAATTTATGTTATAATGAAATGAAAACTGCGATATTGATACTTCAGTACAGTGTTGGAGTTATATCCATCGTCTCGTCAAGTATTGCAACTTGTCTTATGATTACAGTTTTTTCTTTGAATTACAATATCACTCTCTAGAGTGATCATCTTCTATCTATATTGTAGTAACAGATTTGCTGCAGTACTTTTTTCGGTGATTTTTCCTTGTTCGCGCCCGTATAAACCCCATATATATATATATGTATATATTTGCTTGAGGATATATATATATATATATATCCTCAAGCCCGGATCCCAAGCCTTCTACTGAGAAGATCGCCAACGACCACTACACCACTGCACACCCCATTCTTCAATTACACGATTCTCTAAACCTAAACTTAAATTTGACAACAGTGTACCCTTGGCATTCTCTATATGGAATGGAAAGGAGAGATTGATGTTAAATTTAGTTTTAAGTTTAGAGAATCACGCTAGAATCGACACCATTGCCTCTTTAAATGAATAAGAAAACAATTATCTCCACAGTTATAAATTTTGACACAAAATAAAAGAAAAGTTTAGGAATAGAACTTGAGTTCAAACCGTTATTTAATTTATTTATATAGTTTTTGCTTTATTCACATTTGTTCCACTTAGAACTATGTATATAACTAATTTAGATATACTTATATAATTATCTACAATGAATATATATTTTAGTCTCCCCAGCAAAACAATTAATCGTTCCTCATTAGCTTATGCATTTATTTAAGTTCCACGTAAATATGTTGTGGTTCCAACCTCCATAATTAAACAAAACAAAAGGATAATAATTTCTTTATCTACACCGAATACAGACGAATAACTATTCTGCTGGTAGTGTCACTTACATTAAAATAACTAAGTACGAACCAGTACCACAAATATTTTTTATTCATTGTTCACTACGTCTCAATTTGTTTGAGTACCGAGATTTTGTAATTATAAACATAAATTATCACATTTTATCAGATCTGACCCGTCGACAGGTTGCGATTTGCTATCTTACCACTTAAGATTAACTGTAACAGCATAGAGAGACGGTTGTGCAAACTTAATCAAATTACACATTGATAACTCATGACAGAGACAAAAAAGTGACAGCAAACTAACATAAAATTATTTAACCTTATGGTCGCCTAAAAGGTCCAAAGCAGTTTTATTGATATCAATGCACTTTAATACTAATTTAAGTATATTTTATTAAATAATTAGGTTTTATGCGCAGGAGTTTATGAAATCGACAAGATCACTACTTTCTCGAAATTAATATAATATACATAATACAGTCTGTTTTTTTATGCTATTATGAACATTTAGGGATAATATCTTATTATTTTCACAATTATGCATCTTTGTTATTTTTGTCTTTTCAACAAAGAAATTTATGAATGTGAATGCTAAAATGAAATTAGGTTTAAACATTTACAGTAAAGCCTTCGATAGGTCACAATCATCAACTTTTGACTTAAATATTAAATAAATTTATCTCCTTACGTCTACTCTAAGTGTCACGGGAACAGTTCTTTATATGTGAACTTAGACGTTATCTTGTTGGCCATCTCCCTAAAGAGTTCCCCAAGGGAGCGTTCTAGAACCGGACTTATTTCTTGAAGGAAGACTTGCGAGTTCTCGTTGATAACGCGATTGGTTGCAGGTCCCAGCACTGGGTCGCCATCAAACAGATTGGTGAGGTAGATGGACGACTGACCAACGCGCAGGCGCACCTTGAATGGATCAAACTGCAGATACTCTTCATCTCCACGCGTCTCTTTGTGCCCCTTCATGGTAACATTACATGCGTAGTCCTCTGAAATATTATGAGGAATTAAAATTTATTCATACAATTTGTGAAACAATAAATTCGGAATAGGATTGCATAATCGACAGAATATATACGGTGGAGAATGCTTTTCACAGGCGCTTCAACTTGAACGGAAATCGTGTTTACTTCTTCCTTATATAAAACTATTAATTGTTGTTGTATATTTTTTAAATGCTAAGAATCAAGTATTTTCTTTATTTAAACTTAAATTTCAATATGGTTAATAACGAACTCCTACATTTTGTTTGAAATAACAATAATTGCAGTTTCTGTGAAATGTGGGAAACCAATTATGTTCATGCGATGGAAACTTGATCCCTAAACACTTTTAATGTGAGAGAGGGATAGTAAAAGTATTAATTTATTCACAATTCTCTCTCTCTCTTATCAGGACGAAATCATTCGATTATAAGTAGGTGCAAGAGTAGATCGCCAAAAGAAGAAATTAGCAGGTAATTGGTAGCTAACGCTAGTTACATAAATTATTGGCCAATATTGTTTACGTATTGTTTACATTTACATTGACGTTATAAAAAGTCTCTAGTAGAAGCCCTACCAGCTGCTAGTAGTAATATACGAGTGATTACATAAGCGTAGGCGCAGGTAACCCAGCTGAACTAGTATTTGTACTGGTGCCTGGCGCTTGACCCCAATGTCGACAGAGTGGTGCCATCGAGCTGACACGTGCATCAATATAAAGTACAACAACAATATATATTTTTGGATTTATTGGAGATATTTGCTCCAATCTTGTTCCTCTTAAAATCTGATATATGTTTAAATAAAAAGCAACCGTTACTGACTAAATGATCTACCAACGCATAGCACAAACTGTAGAATGGATTGCGCTGAAATTTGGCGTACATAAAGCTGGAAAGAAAATTGTACTATAAAATATTCCACGCGGACCAGTTAGCAGACGGGACCCTTCTTTCTTTGTTTTCTTCTAAATGCTTAAACCAATAAAAATATAACACACATAGCTGTTATGATGTAGGTGTGCGCTTTGAAAGGATTTTCCAAAACCTCCTAAAGGCGTAAAATGGGGGTGCAAAGTTTGTATGGAGCAGCAAGATCGCGACGTTAATCTTTTAATTAAATAAGCAAATAGCTGGTTCGGGCTTTTTAAAAAACCAACCCTTTAAGGGGGTAAAATGGGGTAACAAAGTCTTAAAATCAAAAATCATCAAATCATCCTTTTTAGATTTTTGGGGATGCTGGTCACGAAAATGACATCTGTTTTAAAGTTCACGACACAAAATTGTCTGTAAAGAAGTTTTCTTTTATTTATCATACTCTTGATATTGATAACCTTATTAATTTTGGACCACAAGAGGTGGAGTCTACTCGCTGTAAATTTTTACCAGAAAAGCTCAATTTTCTATAGAAATCCCAGATGTTAAATAATAAAATAACATTTTGTTTCCGAATATTATAAATCTATGAAAGTTTGTGATCGCGACCTGTTTTAATTGATAAGTTATTAATTGTATAGACTAATTATTTACTATCCTACTAGTATTATAAACGTGAAAATTTGTATGTTTGTTACTCAATCACGCAAAAAATTACTAAAGTGATTTGGATGAAATTTGGTATTCGTATAGTATATTACCTGGATTGAGACATAGATACTTTTTATCCTGAAAAAAATTAGATTCCTGTAGGATTCTCAAAAACACCAACCGGACAAAGTCGCGGGCCGTCGCTAGTTTAGTATATAATTAGTATTCCTTAAAGAGTGAGCTGCTTTGAAATATTTAAACAATAATGAATGAGTATAATAAAGAGCCGGTATCGAAGCAAGTCTGCTTGTAACGTTTTGACCGCAATATCAAAACTGTGATGCCATCGAACCGCTACGATGGATGTAACCATTCAAGCTGCTACAAACACGTGACTCACGTTATACAACTGCCCACTAATACTGCATGTGTGCACTATGTGTACAGTACACTGAAACACGAATATGTTTCTGGTACTAATTAATTTATGTATCAAATAAAACTAGTTGTAACGGGTTAATGCTCGAAACTTTATTTATTTATTGACGTTTTGCAGCCTTTTCAGGTCTTCATCGTTAGAATAATGATTTTTTATTTCATTTTGTCGAGCTACCTTCGAAAGACTTTTATTGAGCGTGCGGTTATTTCATTGGAAGATTTTTAAAATTTTATTGTCTACATATGAATTTATTAGTTAATTAAGATAATAAAGTACTATTTAACTACTATTACTTACTATTTAAAATTCTTTTTTGTAATTTTGAGTTTATTTATTTGACCCTAACTACCGTAAACTACCACCGGTTCCAAAATTGGGGGACCTTTCTGAGAAGAAACGGCGAAACAAACTCAAGAGAGGCTTTCTATCTCCTTCTTATGTTAAATCATGCAAACAAAAAGAACTAATAGTATTTGTTGATCTTGCAGTGTGTGCTCGGGGTTGGGATTTTATCTCTTGTATAAGGGGTTCCCAAGCTGGTATATACATACCAACCATCTTCCCTATTGAAATTTGGATATTTTTTAATCTCACTAGCCTCGCGTATCATTCTAGGAATGAATCGTTGCTCAGTTGCAAGGATCTGTGGTTTATCAAATCTAATGTAAATGGGTTTGGTCCCCCTAATTCATGTTCACACACTGCAGACTTATTTTCGCGCCTATGTTTCATATCTGCGATATGTTCTATATGTATCATACAACCGGTTTGGTGCAAAGAATGCCTTGTGCTCCAACGTAACTCAAGAGGGTTCATATTCCTGTAGGGGTATTTCTTTCTGTGAGGAGCAGATTTTTTATTCAGTCACGGTTGTTTATATTCATTTGTTTTTAAACGTTATTTAAAAAAAAGCAAAATGGAAAATGTTGCTAAGACGACACCACATTTTTTTTTTATCGCGAGGTAGGCAAATGACTCTACCCCACCTGATGTTAAGTGGTGATAACGTCCAAACGCGAAGATAGCTGGTACAGCAGTTATAAACAGCTACACCAACCATCCTCACCTTGCCGGCCTGCAAAAATGCTTCTTCACGCCTCTCTTAAAGGACCCCAGATTATAGAAAGGAGGGAACACGTGCGCGGGTAAAGAATTCCCCTTACGAATAGTACGACAAAGAAATGAGTCACCAAATTTCTTTGTTCGTGTAGGAATAGTGGCCACAGTAAGTCGGTGGCAACGTAGGCCAGCGCGCGTGGACCTCTGAAGAAAAGTTGATGGAGGACTCATGACATGACTCGCACTGTCAAAAAGCAATCAGATCTCAAGTAGAACCAAGCTTACTCTACACGCCCTAACGCTACAAGGCCTAATTTTACAAACTCGACACTTTAGTCAAAATAATATGTGGCCCTGGCCATTTCGCTACTTTCACGTGGGCGGAAGGTGAAAAATTTATTCACTGTTCATTACTTTTTTGTTAAACAATAGTTCTTGTATTAGCGAAATCCAAGTGATAAGGGTTCAAAAAAATAACGAAGCGCTCAGAGAATAGGTAGATAGTGCCCTTGTGCTTCGCCAGATAAAAACGTTTCAAGATGTGTTATAATAATTCATTTATTTCACTTAAAACGGTTTACATTAGAAAATTGTCTCAATTTAGGTAACCGATATGCCTGTGCCAGGAAGCTTGGCTTTACCACAGTTACATTAAAATATAAGCAGTTTCACAAATTTATGCATTAATTAGTTTTTAAGTTGTTGTTATTTTATTTTCTATAAATTGTTTCACATTTATAATATTAGTAAGATAAATCAATAAGATATAAAAAAAAAACTTTAGAGAGTTTCTACATAAGTGCCATGATGTGGGTAGTTCTTTTTTAACAATACAAAAATGTCTTCCAAATATTGACAGTCCTAACTAGTACTAGAACAGTTGGTGTACGGTACAAATCACAAACTGATTTTAGTAATTTTTATCTGTTATAACATATTTTATTTGAATCGTACCGGCTTCATATCGCAACTGCATAATTTGGAATTCAATAAATGTGGGTTGTCCAGAATTTTGCTAGTCAAAAGATCTAGTAAAACGGGAAGTATAGTTTCATATTGCATTTGACATTGATATTTTCGTTTATATTTATGGTTGCTTTTTAATATTTTCGTTTATACCACCATATTTGTTTTAAGATTAATCTATGTTTGATCTAGATAGCTAGCAGCTGGAAAACAATGTCTTTTGATACAACACATTCGAAGATGCATCCGGCTTATTAAGTCTCAGCGTATTTTCCGCATTGAATTGGAGCGTCTGTTTGGAGCAGTAGTCTCCACCTTACAGTGTTTTAGAATTTCGAGTGTTTCTGGCTTTGGTATTATTTTGTTCTTGCTACGAATAAATAAAAACAAAAGGCCGCGATGCAGTAGCCTGAGCGCCACATTTCTCACAACTAAACTGCGTGAAGTAATTTTCTGCATTTTGTATAAAATAAAAACTTCAACAAGAAGCATCTTATATTGCCGGTCTTTACATATACTAGGTACTTACGTACCTGGATCTAATTATACCCGCGGGAGGTGGTCAACACCGCTACGAAAACGGCTAATTGCAGCCGAGATCTGACTCTCAGAGACACCCTCCAGTTGAGCCGAGGCTCGAGTTGCCTAGTGACTCTACGGAAGAGTGGAAATCCCTCAAAGAGAGATGCTCCTTATCTAGATCAGAAGAAGACTAGTCAACTCACCAATTCCCGGCTTGAGATCCCTCAAGGATCTCGCCGCCCCAAGCCCAGTGACGCTACAAAGGTCATCTGAGACCAACACCTTAATGGCTCAATTACACTTGGTCGTTAGCCCGTATTCGGGTACATGAAAGACATTACTCGAATTCGAGCATCCGAAGCACCAGAGCATATTTGCTCTGGACTGCAGGCTGCAAGACGGTGTCGGATAACCAAAACGAAAACTACCCGAATACTCGGGCGTACTCGACTTCGTTCATTTACACTTAGTCGTTTACCCGAATTCCATTGGCAATCGTAGACAGGCTAACGACCAATCGTAATTGAGCCACAACATACCCCAAAAAATTATCATATTCCCAACGTGACTTACTAAATGTTCCGGTGATGTTCCCACGGCCCTGCAGCCGCAGTAACAGCACTTGAATGTCCATCTTGTATTTGCCCGTGAAGTCCAGCCTCGGCAACAGCAACTTGAAGTCGAACCGATTCTTGTCCAAGTCAGACCTGGAAACGGTACCGTACGACTTTTAAGTAATTTTAATGCTAGTAATAGTAGTACTTACAGGTATGGACTAGCCAATCAATTGATGAAACTTTTCACATTATCACTTCGGTGTGAAAATAAGGTGATGGGCGACTAATCCAAGCATGTATCTTCAAACTATTTTTTTATTTTATTTTTTATTACCTTAATCAAAATAGCTTTAAACAATGGCATGCGATAACATCTAAAACCACTAAGGTTTATACTGCGCTATCGGAGTTTACATTTATATTACCTTACTTAAAACATAGTATTATGTATAATGCCCTTACAACTAAGTTACAGCAAATTAAGAAAGTAATCTTTCAACTTATAATTAACTTTCATATTTGTGATGCTGCCTCGTAATTCTGGCATTAATTATTAACTGTTAATATTAATTGAATAATCCTAATATTGTTCTATGAATAATGTAATTTTTCACCTGGCTTGGTTACAAATGCACGCGTATTAAAGTACCCATTAGGTTTTACTGGCGAATTGCCAGTACAACATCAAAAACTTAAGTGCTTAACCATTGATTGGTAAAGTTTTCTAAACTATTATCACTACAATCAGATTTACTCACCTTTAACTCGTGTTTATTCTAACAAAAGGATAATGAATCAAGGTTTAATTTAAAAAAAGGTGCCAGTTTCGCAGTGCTGTCACGTAGATAGCAGCCAGTGCCCTGACTCGTCTTCATATATAATTCAAGACCACTATATCCCGGCAAGGTCGAGCAAGATCCAGCATAATTACATCCCGAGAACACAAAGCTACTAAGCAAACAAAATGTTTAGTATGTATCACATTGTCTAATGTGCTCATAGCATAGCGTGTTTTTATTGATCCTTGATTTCAGTTTTATTCTTAAAAACACCGAACAGGAATGTACGATACTTCCTTTGTTCCCTTTTCTAAAAAATAATTAAATATAATCTAGAATTTAGATAAGTACGTTATAAAACATACTGTAGATGTTACAGATCAAAGATTTAAAAAGTGTTTATTGAAATATAACGAAAAATACTGATATATCGTATTTTCTTCGAAGAACATTGCCTTCCATCTATAAGGTACACACCCTGGCAAACTTTTTGATCATCGACCATAGATGAGGAAGCCTGCGCAGTAGCCATTTAACATACAAAATCATTTACTGCGCAACTTTTGTCTGTGATTTTGCTCAAGAAGTTCGCCGCTATCTAAACCAGGCCTGAAACTTATATACACTAAAGAAAGGTATCACAACCACAAGTATGTACCTATTCAAAAATAGGACTCACGTTAACTCTTCAATGATGAAGTTGCTCGGCCCTCGGACCTTGACGTCGTTGACAACTGCGGTCAATTTGGCGCCCTGTGGCCCGCGAGCGAGCGCAATCTGGCCCAGACTCAAGGGCTCCAGACCCGGCACATCCAGCTCTGGTATACCCTGAAAGCATTTAAAAATACACTCATTAAAACTCGCATTCAACTGCATTTCAACAAAGAGAGTTTTAAATCTAAACAAAATATTACTAGAAAAAAATCCCATCTGAAACCAGTTTTTCTTTAATAATATTTTCTTTAGATTTTAATGTCTACCAGTTAATGCTTAAAAATATAATAAATACATCTGTTGGAGTTGTTGTAAAGTAAAAAAATAATAATTTAAATTTGTTATTTATCAATCGAACAAATACACACCGCATTTTCAGATTGAAAGGAGCAAACTTAAATTTAAATCACAAATATCTTTTCAGAATTTAAATTTATTTATTTTATTTTTTTATGTGAAACCGAACCACTGTAGCTTTTTGAGTATTAAACAAGTGTTCTTATGAGAGCATCACCGCGCATATTTTAAAATTCTGTAGAGCGTAGACCCAGCGGAGTATTTACCATTTCGCCAAAATGGGCCCGGAGGGACAGAAGCCATACAAAGGCATTCGTTACAGAACTATATTTTGATTTGATTTACTAATTCTAGAAATCGTAAATGGCCCGGAGCGTCAGATTTCAAAATACGCCTCTGCGTAGGCCTAAGCCTTGGTTAAACTATTGTGCAAATAATAATTTAATTAGAAGCTTTACCAAATCCATTAGCATTTTTTAAAAAATCAGCTAGCTTGATGATATTTATCTTATAAACATTTTAATTATTTTAACTTCCTCTAATAAATTTAAGTTAGTGGCAGGTCCACTAACTCGTCGGCGTTTTGTCAATCCGTTTATAACCCTCACACGCAATATTTTAAAGCTAATTTTATTTTGGTTGTCAGTTTAAATGAGATTTTTGATAGCATCTTGACATACTTGCCCTATGTGTCGACATTGTGTTGACAATGACATACTTTCCATTCTGTTGTGAAGCAAAATATTACCATTACACTCCTTTAATTGCCATCTGATGAAGGTCAAATGCTTTGCATACAATCCTTGCGTTTAATTACATATTTACTCAAGAAATAACTTGTCTATTAGATAAAATTAGCTTTCTTTTTCTAAATTCGTTTTTTTAATAATAATTTATACTATGAAGATTGGTTGCTATAGAGTAGAAAATTATATTTCAATACATTTGAAAAGAGATAGTTTGTCCTCTGTTTACAGCGAAAACATTTTTTTTTTAAATTTGACTAAAAATGATTTTATTTATTTTTAAGCATTTAACTGCTAGATGTTTAAATCTAAAGAAAAGTTTACTAGAAAAAAATCCACGCGGACCAGGCAGCGGACGGGACTCGAACCCGCATCCTTCGCAATCCGGGCGAATGCACTGACCATTATGCTACCACGGCCCTCTTAGCCGCGTCGAAATTTTCCTAGCCTTAGGCTGCAAGGCAGCGCCATCACTTCGCATTGTAGGCTAAGAGGGCCGTGGTAGCATAATGGTCAGTGCATTCGCCCGGATTGCGAAGGATGCGGGTTCGAGTCCCGTCCGCTGCCTGGTCCGCGTGGATTTTTTTTTTCTAGTAAACTTTTCTTTTGACTAAAAATGTTGAATAGAATTATAAATGTCGATATTGTCATTAACAGATCCAATCACCAAAGAGATCAATAAAAAAAATATGAACAACACGCAGGAGAAACCGCGCGCCGGCTAAATTAATAAAAATGTGAAAAAATAAAAAACGCGTGACATGCAGTCAGCCTTTGTTCATAAATGTTTATAATTTGTATTTTTTTTTTCATAAAAAAATAGTGTGTCTTCCTCAAGTAGTGAATCAGAATGTCCTGGCGCGTGGGACGGAATGGTCCCGATCCGACCCCTAAGCCCTCGCTGTATTCTGTGGAACGGTTCCGGTTTCCCTTTCCGGCAACTTTTTGATTAGCCCCCCAAACTGTGAGGGAATCCGGTTTGGGTCCCCTTCGTCGGCTAACCGTTTCATCGGGTCGCCCCCACGCTCCACTTTTCACGCCTGAACAAGGTGGTGACCCTAACGACACCGAACAGATCTCAAAGTCACTCACAACTATTGGAAAAATAAAATAGCTCTCCGGAAAACACCGAAGTATTTTCCGGCTAGCTTCAGCAAGAGAGTGGTCCGCTAGCCAGGCGATATACCAGACCACACCAACAGACTGGTCAAGTTTACGTAGACTTGCGATAGGCCTTCTTAACGGGCCGTGAGGTATTTTAACCCGTCCCCATAGAGGTAATATAGAGCTACCATAGTGGGAGAAAACTACCGTAGGTCGAGTGGAAACTGACTCGGTAAAATCCCTCAACGGGGATATCGCGGTTCCGCACTTACAAGCGTGGAGGGTATTCGCAGGGTTTTTAGCGGATAGTATGCCGTAAGCGGTCGTAAGCTGCTTAACGACTTCTCCGTTTCGCACCCGTGAGACTTGCGAGAGGCTAGGTGTGCGTTCCGTTCGTTGGTATGGCCGGGCGCCAACGTCTGTAAATAGAGGTTTTGCCTGCGTAGAAAATAAAGTCTAGAGGAAACTACTTAAAAAAACACAATCTCGTCAAGACCAAAAATTAATCCAATCTAGTAACTCCACCGTGACAGAAAGAAAAACCTTATATTCAATAAGACCCCATCCGGCGAATTGTAAGCTTGTCTGGAAAGGAACTTCGTTCTAAAAATTTATAAAAAACTTCAATGTTCAAGAATGTTTTCTTAGTTTGTTGTTTTTTGGCAAATGTGTTACCAAAAAAGTCCGGTCTGTTGTCTTTATTATACAAGTAGGAATTTTATACAACGTACGTATACCGTGTAGGGTGACTGACCTCTCTTTCCAGAAGAAGCAATCAAACTTTTATAAACAAAACAAATAATAAACATAATGTTTGCAGACTGGTTCGTAAAAAGAAGTCTCATGTTTTTAAGAGTTTTCCTTTTTATTCTTTATTTTTTTAAAAAAAAAAGGATACAACGTTTTAGCCGTTAACGACCTAAGTGCGTTCTAAAGTTTTCCTCTCGCTAATGTCCGTTCCGTTCAATCAACCTAACATCCCAAGGATAACTTGATACATTCGTCGAACCTTCACTGAAAGTTGCATCATATCATATACCCTTTTCGACGACTATTAGAACCTATCTCAAACACTTATAAAATTCAACATAAGACCACAGTAAAATAATACTATCTTTAAATGATGATTTTTTCTGTCTGTAAGTAAGATTCATGAGGTAGGATCTTGAGGATTGAGTCAGGGTAGGCAACAGTGCGAGTGATATTTTTGGTATCGCAAGCGTCTGTAGGTTTTGATTGCTGCTTACGATCAGGCGGATCATACGCTTATTTGCCAGCCTTTTAACATAAAAAAATACTTTGAAAATGTGTATGGACCTGGTAACATTAGGCCCAACTATAAGCTAAATCAAGTTCTAATAAGCAAAACTAATCAGCGACCGATATTTTAGGTTTGGCTGGTTGGGGCACAGCCTTAACTATTACCGACCAAACTGACTCAGTGTGTTAACGGCTGCAAATGCAGCCGAGATGCGTGTATCGAAATGCCACTTCAGTATGATCAGAGTTAGCATTTCCAACAACGATATTTTTTGGTAAGGGTTTTTAAATCGTTGTTTCCAAACTATAGACACGTGTCAATGCTGCTCCATTACGTCTCAGACGGTGGTATACTGGGATAAGTGAGATTCACCAATTACAGCTAGGACTAGGCGACGTGCCTTTCAAAGCGCAGGAAGAAAATTTGCAACCCTTTCTATGACTTCCACTGTGAAAGTTGCTTAACTATCAAAATCGCATACCGTCCTCTCAAGACTGCACCATTAAGCTCCTTATATTGTAGTTTGTATGTATAAAACAATAAAACTAAATACAATAAACAACCATGACTTAAGATAGAATGTTATAGATTTAATGTCGAAAGGAAAGTCACCTGAGCATGACAATCTGAGTATTGAGCACCTCAAGCATGCTGGACCCCATCTTTAGTACAACTCATCACATATAAATGCCTCTACCGGGATTACACACTTACTTGAAGTTCTTAAAAGGCGAGCCTGCTCCCTAGTTTAGACTCCAGATCACACACTTTTTGATATATATCAATATAAAACTGTGAAGTGTGTAAAAAATAAAGTAAATAATATCTTATTCAAAACGCGAACATTTAGAACAGAATACATCAACCGACTATTTGAAAAACTGCAAAATTATAACACGCCATACCATTCTCAGTAGCAACATTGTGGACAGTGCTATAATATAGGTGCCATATGAAAGAAAGAAAATATCACATAATTAGGTACTTCAAATACATGTTTAATGATCTATAGAACACCTGGTGACTTATCCCTTATCAACAAAACACCGGCAAAACTACGTGCTCATCAGCCAATACCGCTCTAATATCCAATAAAGAATAATGACGAATGTTCAAAGAATCCTATCAATTAGGTAGTAAGTGATATATAAAAACCGTGTGAAAATAAAGCAAAGGATTTATAATTATGGGTTTACGTACAGTGCTAGTGATAGGTGCCTGCTGGACTGTTTTACAGGTAGGGAGTACATTACTTTTAGATTATTGTTTAATTGACGTCAATTGCCTTTTTTTTCTAAAATTTGATGTAGATATATTTTATTCTACGCATTTAGATTTACATGGCTTTTAAAGTTCCTTCATTTTCTTTTATTAATTTTGACAAATACTTTATGCATATTATCTTTTCATTTCACTTTATCAAATCCGAAGCTTTTAATGCTAGAAGAATTAGTTTTGCCTCCAATATTTTTAATGAATAATGAGTATCGATTTAGGCACGATTCCATCGCGGGATGATGTCATTTTTTCATCATCTAATCGATTACTCGCTCTTCCAATACTTTTTAATAATCGATCGATTATTAAAAAAGTATTGGACAAGTATTTTTTTCACAGAATCAAAACATTACATAGATATATTGATTTGAAATGTGGCATGATGTCACGTGTTGGTACAATTTTTACTTAGCAGTGACCCCACTCCCAAACTTTGACGCGCTTTATCTTTGTAATTCTCTGGTTGATTGACAAAAGAAATATAGTGTCTATTATATTTTGAAAATCTTACTGACGGAGTTAATAAAATTTAGTTTATCTTTAACAAATTAGTTCACAGTGGATTAATTTTGACATAAATGAATGTAGTGGTGTTTTTTGGTATAAGTATCTATAAACGACCTCCGTGGTTTGTACGCCGGTTTTCATTGTGTCGCCGACTCGAGATGTCCCGGGTTCAATTCCCGGTGGGGGCAAATGTTTGTGTGATGAATACGAGCATTTGTACTCCAGTCATGGATGTTTAATATGTATTTCTATAAAAATATACTTATATGTGTACAGTCATATACTGTATTCCATCTGTTACCCTAGTATCCCACAATACAAGCCTTATAGTGCTTACTTTGGGGCTAGGCTAATTGGTGTGAGTATTGGAAATAATTATTTAATATTATTTATTGTAAACCATAGTGATGTACCTCAGGGTTTCAACCAATTAAAGATGTTTGGTGACTCGTCTTTTATCACACAATTCATTAACATTATTCCCGTCTACGAAAGTAGTTTGGTTGAAAATGGTTTCTGAATCAATTTCAATAAAAGAAGTATCTTAAATTTAAAAAATGTCATTAATTTAATTATTACTATCATAAAAACAGATAAAGGGGTTGAAATAACTTTACTAACATTGAGATATCACAATATATCAATATATAGATAAACTGATTAAATAAAAATAAAAAGTTATATAATTTATTCATTTAAATATTTGTAACAAATACTTTTGGGATGGGCGTTATTTATGTTACACGTTGTATATTCGTTTGTACATCCCCAAATTATTTTAATGGTTAAAGTGAGGATGGCTTTTGTGACTCGTAAAATTGATGCGCTAGCTATCTTCGCGTCAGGACCCCACCAGAATCTTATATCAAGAACAGGAGGCATTTGCTCGTATTCAAAAATGTGTACTTCCCAAGATACTTTTCGAATCCCTCTAATGATATCAGATGAGAAGGTATACGTAGGTATTTATTTCTTTATTATATTTAGGCAGGTTCACAGCTTTCATTCACTAACAAAACAAAAAGCCAATATCCATTTTCATCCATCCTTTATTAAGTATGTTTGATCCTATGTACATTTATATTCATACTTATACATTTTCCAGCTCAACTTTTGCCAATCTCGAGTCATCAATTCTCCAGGTACGAGAGCCCAAAGAAGTATTAGGCATACATCTGTCTGGCCTTACCCCTACGCACATGATGAATTGAGGTACCGCCGGAATGCTATTAACCCTATCGTTACCACTAGACGATATGTACCACCATCAGTTACTGTTAAAGTACCCCTAAATAGTCCTTCCAGTCCCGATATAACAATAAAAATTGTAAACAGTAGTCATACGCAAGAAATAGAAGTTCCAAATCAAACTTATGGTGATGGAACACAGAGTCCTAATGAATGCAGTGACAATTGCACTGATGCTAATTGCAACTTAGCAGAATCCGATGCATATTTAGATACAGAAACGATTGAAACCAATACAGAGACAATAACGGAAACTGAATCCGACGCAAAAGAAGTTGATGGCGAGGCAGTAGCTGAAGCCGCCGTGGTGACTGAAGTAATCACGACGACTACAGAGACTGAAACTTTAACCGATGCTGAGGAGACTGCTGAGGGCGGCTGTACAAATGCAGGTAGCTCTGGAAATTCTGATGGTTCATCAACAAATAGCGAAGCATGTCAGAATGACGATACTGCAGAAGTAGGTGTAGCTACAGATACAATAACAGAAACTACGGTAACAGACAGTATTTCTGAAGCAGCAGCAATTGCGTATGGAAACGATACCACAAAAGCAGAAGCAGCAGCAACTACAGCCGCAATTTCAGGTTCAAATGATTCGGTCAGCACAGCAGCATCTAGTTCAGCCAGCGGTAGTGATACCTATGCTGCATCGGCCACAGAAACAACAACCAAAACTTCTGGGACAGAAAGTGTATCCGCTTCTTTCGCTGAAGCTCAGGGTGAAAATGCTTCAGCTACAGCAGCTGCAGCTGTCGAAAATGATAATTCCGAGACAAATGGGGAATCTAATGGCAGTTCTGCTGTAAGTGAAACAACAACATATACCGAACCCATAGAGCCCACAGAAACTTCTACATATTCTGATTCATTTGGAGACACCAATAGTGAGAATATTACTGAACCCGAAACATCACCAAGTGCTGATGATGGTAGTAATCCGGAAGCTGCACCAAAAGAAGAAAATACTGATGAAGAACCACCCAAATCTGAAGGTGCCGAAAGTGACTAGCATATTTTTTATTGCTTTTTTTTAAGATTTAAATGTGTATTTTATATACAAAGCCCTATAAAATAAAACATTGGCTTCTAAAGTCTATATAGGTAAATTAGTAACTTTCATATGAAGATCGAGCTGAGTTAAGCAAGATATAAAAAATAAAAACTTATTTTCCTTTTAAATCATATTGTCGTCTTTTACAGTATTCATTGTAAAATCATGGCTAACTATCAAGTGACGAAATTGTAAATAAAAAAACAGAGTCCAGTTAGTAAATAAACGTAATTATTTATTACACTCGATATCTTTATAACTTGTTACTTAAGTTCTAAGTTTAATTAAAATAGTTATTATAATATATTTTGTTCCGACTTATTACTTATATTATAACCATCCATACTATTATCATAAATGTGAAAGTGTGCCTGTCTTTTACCTCTTCGGGGTTAAACCATTGGTGAAATTTGGTACAGATATAGTTTGAGTCCCGGAAAAGGACTAAGGATAGTTTATATCTTAGAAATAATCCTTTAGGGGGTTTAAAAGGGTGGTGAATTTTTTATTGGAAATCGATTGAACCACGCAGACGAAGCCTAAAGGGAGACCCCTATAGACACACCCCAAACGCAAAAAAGGTAAATTAAAATGACATAAAAATTCAGTACTTAACTTACATTTATCAATATAAAGGAAATTTGTAATAGAAAAAAAATCACGTTCCTGTCTGAAATATTTAGATTTATAAATCTAGCAGGTAAACGCTTAAAAATATATATAATAACTTACATTTATCATCTTCGGTCGTAGTTGGTCCACCGAATTCATGATGCATTTGTCGACGTTAGGGTCATTTCGCTGGCACACTTTAATGTAAGGCGCTGAAACAAGAAATAATTTTTCGTGAGCGAAAACTAAAGGAAATTGTTATGAACAATATTTGAAATAATTATTTCAGTCGTTATGGTACACCCAGACACCAGACGCACACAGAGTACGGCGGCATACGGTAGGCGCGCGACGGCGCCTATAAACTGCTTGGCGAATTAATTCTGCATTTTTATAAAAGGAGTTGGTTCAAAAGTGGTAGTCGGTTTCTGGCAGCGAAGAAACATGTTTATATCATTTGAAAGCTTGTTTTATATCATAAGATGAACAGATACTTCTCTTTTCTCTGATTAATTTTAAATCGTGTTTCACATTCGAATAATTTTGTAAGTATGCTGGCCAATCTGTCATAATGAACGTCATATCTCTAGTCTATGGCATCCTATAACGGCTACTCAATCACTTTGGCAAATGTCAATAAGACCAGTCATGCATGATTTTCGTGAAATCGTGGTGAGCTTATTATTCCAATTTATGATTGATTTTTATTTGCTAAACGATTTATAATTAAGTGTCCTATGTGTCACAAAAAATTGGACTCTGCAGAAGACTGACTACCACCCTCCATACAAATATAAATCGTCTCCTATATGACGTTAAAATATGAACTTATACATACGAACGAAAGTAATCTAATCTGGAAGATTGGATTGGGTCAATATTGATCGCTTAAATACTTATTGCAAAAAATTACTTGACCATTAGACAATTAGGATCTGTATTATAAAGGCAACAAAATAGATACGATCAACTAACTTAACGTCGCTTAATAATTTGAGATGCTTAAGCAATAAGCTAATTTATTAATTTAAGCTGATCTTCCTAACAACAACAACAGAACACACGATGTAAGATAAACAAAAAAACCAACACTAAATTCAACTATTCGCATATTTTAAAAAGGGTTACCTCTTATTCGAGTGGATGATCCGCCATACCCTAGCATAGCGCATTATCCGCTCGAATTGGGGCGTCTGTCTTGGGAAGTAACCTCTACCGTACAAAAGATCGCAGTAAAATAACACTGCCTCTTGGTGGTGTTGTGTCTCTGTCAGTGAGCAAGGTTCCAAGGCTCCACGGGAACGTAGGAGTATTAGATATTGTGTGTCTACCCCTTAATAAGGATGTATGTCTTATTCCTTTGTCTATAGTCTATTAAAAAAGGTTACTGTCACTTCCTCTATGGGCTCTCTTGTAAAAAAATGGTCGGTACGTTCATCGTTGTGCCTTTTTGTTATAAATTAAATCTAAGTGCATCTTTTCATAAACCAAATGTGGATTAGTCCGATATTGTTGTATCTAATAAAACGACCAATACGCCCAGTTCCACGCTTTTATTTACACCGAAATACTATTCGGAAAAGAGCTTTCACCTTAAAATTATCAGAAGGAGTAAGGTAAGCAACGGTGCGAATGATATTTTCGGTATCGCAAGCGTCTATTGTAGGCTATGGTGGCAGCTTACCATCAGGTAGGCCACAAACAAAAAACACAGCAACTAGAGCCCGATGCACTCCATTAAAAGTTTTGCTTGAATTGGATCAAACAACTTGAGCGGTGTGGTAATCTGATATGTAATCGATGCTAAATGTTCGGACTTCATTGAAATTGCGGGCGCTCGCATTATATTGCATCACTCGCAGCGTGGACGGATTACACTCCGATGCCGTTTAACCTTGACTTTGACTTATTAATAACGAGTTGACAACCCAAAAATCTTACGTCTATCGTATGTGCATCTATTAAAGAAGGTAAGTTTTAAATAAAACAAAATAATTTTAAAGTCGAAATAAGTTCTTGTTATTAAAAAACTCGCTTTCATGGATAAAATAAAAACTGGAAATTAGTTTTTTTATTTTGTTTTACTAATAACTTCAATGACTTCGTATGGAATAGCGGTAAAAAATTTGAACATGATTGAATGTATTATTGAAAAATTGGGCCCAGAATGCATCCTTGGCGAACGCTTAGCGGGTGTATCCCGCTTTCGCTGATTAGAACAGGTCGCGCTGGTATGCGAGTACATTATGTCACCGCACGTTACATTGATGTAAACACTGTAGCAGAGCCATCACATCGAACATTAACCTTTCTAAGTCCCCGATTGCTTTTATTGATGTATTATTGGACCGGGGAGTTAAAAATAACATGAAATAACAAAAAGAAACTTTCAAATTCAGACGCTATGACTAGCAGTGTAAAAAAGATCCAAAAAAACTGAGATACAAGTGAAACTTTTGAAAATGTTTTGTTTTACGTGTCCTCAAATTTATTCAGATCTTCAGCAATTGACCATATTTTTTTTCAAAAAAAAAACAGTTATATGTAGACACTTTAAAATGTGTTTTATTTGTCCTCAAAATTTTAAGGATCATAGTGTTTGAGTGTTTTACAATACCTCAAATTTATTCGGATCCTCAGCAATTAACGGAAATTTTTGGAAAAATTGTGTGAAGTTTATATTACTCCGGCTTTTAAAAAGTGAAAAATAAAATTCTTCCACAGCTGGGAATCGAAACCAGACCGCCCGCGCAGGCAAGCTTTCTACCATTGAACCACCGACGCATCTTGCTAAGGTCAGATTTTTACTAACAATAAAAATGTAATCAAATAAATAAAAAAAAGAAACGTGATATGCTAAAGATTAACGAAAACATCTGTGGCGAAGTAATAAAAGTTTCACTTGAAATAGAGAATAAGATAAATTTTGAAGGCGATCACAGAAGGAATTAAAGTTTATTGGCGCCCAGAGCTCAAAGATACATGGAAAGGGGAGGCCAGGGTAGGCAATGCACGAGTAAAGAGTCTTTAGATAGACTATGGTGACCGTTTACTATCAGGCAAAATAGTGTATTAGTATATTAAAGCTTCTGCATGCCATTGCATTACGCATCCCCGCCTGGTCGATAACTAAGCATCATATCGCAATCTTGCAACGCAATGATGTCTCAACGGTTTTGACATATCCAGCGTACCACCGGTTTTTACGCTGATATCACAGCGCCTGATCAAACTTAAACCTTAATTAAACAACCGTATGAAGAAAGATCGATGACTCCTGTACATTATTGATTCGAAACTTCGAACGCTTATTTAAGCGTTTTTTGTACCAAAGCCATCCGAACCTTCTGATCGCATGTCGCAACGGAGCTTCTTACTTCTTACTACGGAAAGGAAATTTGAATTAGTTCTGTCGTAATGAATAAGCGGGCTGCGTGTCTATTGACGCTGGACTATACTTTGCCACCCGAAGCTTCGCAGCGCTGCTGTTGTGGTCATCATCGAGCATCGTAGAATATCCGAGCTCGGGGAGGAGAGCGGGGGAGAAACACATAATATACCAGCTACTTACTTTCCGACGCAGAAGCAGATTAAAGTTTCTCAGCACTACAAAAGTATGCAGAGTCGTGAAATGAAAAGGTTCATCAGTCAAAGTTCGTAACACGTTAATTGGAAAGTAGCGAAGCGAAACAGCAGCTAAAAATTGTCAGCTACGATATTGCTTATCGTCCTCCCTCCACCTCCTTGATACTAAAATACCTACGTTTAAATTAGCGTACAAACTTTGAATTAATTCCATCGAACACAAATACCATTGGTACTCGTAATCGGGCTAGCGCCCAAGTATAATCACACCATCATGCATATCAAATTATAGCCAGTCAAGCTATTCCATGGCGGCAACCCGATAATTTATTACGGAAGAACTAATTCAAATTTCAAACGCTAGTTTAGCGCATTTAGTTCCAAAACCACCCAAAGCATCGTCACGCCCACAGGTGTGGGAGAAGCCTAGAATAATATTCGTAAAACGGGTTATGGACAATATAGTCAGACCACCACAAAGTTGTCTCAATCAATTAGAAGATATAAGATAATAAATACGTGTTATATTTTTTCTTTGCATTTTTGCAATTGATTTCGCTGCTTGGTTGAATGCTGCATAGAAACTCCATTGGCACAGACTTTTCCTTCATTATGTTTAAAATATAACTTCAAAACCTTTTTGGTGTATTGTTTGTATATCATTAATTAGCAGCCTTCTCTGCATTCCATGTAATTAACCATTGCTGTGAACGGCAGTGACGGCTGTTGAATAAAATATATTGTAGGTACTAAACAATGACGTATGAATTCCAAAATAAAATATAACAATTGACTTCCTTCTAGTGTTACTTTATTTATGGCCATCACGGTATTGTTTATTTGTATCGATTGACATATCGATTGGCACAATAAAAAAGAACCGTCTGATTTGATTAATTCATTGCTGGCATTTAAAACTAACTTCTTTTCACCGCATTGTTCTTGATTTAAAAGCAATTTATAAAGACAGTCATTTAATAGAATATATAGTATTATTAAAACTAAAGGAACTGCTTGAAAGAACTAAAGGTAAGCTGTCCACGGAACCTCATCTCACTATTCTTATTTATAACAGTATCATGTGCATTATTTTAGAGTATTGTAGTCCCGTTTGGAATCCGGGGTACCATAAACACTCAAACAGTGTTGAACTCGTCCAAAAAGATTTTCATAGCACTTAGCTTTTCAGGTGCCATGTTGAAGCAACTTTGCTTTTATCATACTTTTCCCACAAACGTTCAAATTTCGAACGCTAATTTTAATGAATGTCAAGATAAAGGGACTCCGCCAGGTTTTTCGATTATAATATAATTTTTTTCTTTCCCCTGTAAAAGCTGATTCTTTTTTTTCATATATTCGTATATAGCCAGGTAGGCAAATGTCTCTACCCCGCCTGATGTTAAGTGGCGATAAAGTCCAGACGCGTAGACAGCTGGTACAGCAGTTATAAACTGCCACACCACCCATCCTCACCTTATTCAAGAATCACTCTCCTCTGCCCACCAGAGTTTACACCCAGGACTTAATTTATTTACTGTAATGTATAACCTTGTCATCTCGTTTAATTATAATAATATCATAATATAGTTTATTGTCGAATTATAAGAACATGGAAAGAGTCAAGGAAAATAAAGGTTTCTAAAAAAACTTAAGGTTTTTTACTTTCCTATGACTTTTAATTGTTATAGTACATTAAAGAAGAGGGATTGAAGGACGAACGTGTAAATACACACATACGTAAGTCCAACAAAGGCAACTGAACTTGGGGTTTTCGGTTCGAAGGGTATACTAGCGGTTCCTGGAGACCGGTGGCCATGTCCAAAGGCATGGGTCTGGTAGGCGTCGCTGCACCTCGAAGAGAGAAGACCGATTCATCGTATCGACATCTCTAAGAAATCGGTTCTCTAATGCTGTTGAGTTGCAACAGCAGCTCCAGGCAGATCGCAGAACAACCATGAGCGTTTGTACGGTTAGACGAAGACTGAGGGAGAAGAAGATAGCGGCTCATAAACCTACTACGAGTCCAAAATTGACCGCAGAGCATCGGCGAGCCTGCATGCAATTTGCTCGCGACCACGTCAATTGGACCCTTGACCAATGGAGAGCTGTTCTCTTCTGAGACGAGACGAGAGTGTGCCCTTTCTGCAAGGATAGACGCAGAAGAGTGTACAAAAGACAGGGGGAACGTTTCGCCCAAGCCTGCATCCAGGAGACAGTGGAATACGGGGGCGGTTCCTATATGTTTTGGAGCGGCATGTCGGCCGACGGCAAAACCAGCCTTGTAAGCGTCCCATGGAGTGGAGATGCTCGCGGGCAAGGGTCGTTGACTGCTGACCTGTACGTCACAGAGATCCTGGAAGCATGTGGTCCCCTATGCCGGTTTTGTTGGCGAGGGGTTCACATTAATGCACGATAATAATCATAAATAATATGGATTTTCATACAACTTTTGCCGGTCGCTGCTGCTCGCATGTATGTTGCCAGCACAGCAATTTCGATTTATCTCGAGGAAAGTTATCAAAATAATGTTCATATTTCCAAGCATGCTTGAGAAAATAATGTTATTATACTAGCATAATTATAACCACGGGGGCTATACTGGAGTGTTGAGTGAGTATGCGTTATACTCCACAAGGACGTCTCTGGGACTGAAGTTTTTAATATACCCTTTTTAACCTCTGAATAACAAAATATAATATTAAACTATTGTTGTTACCCTTAATTTATTATTATACAAATTCAGATTACTATCCACAAAAGTCAAGCGATTCCATACAAACTTAAAGCCCCTATTGTAGCTAGCCCCTTAGGGGATGAATTCACAAAAAAAATGCAACCGTAACTGTTACTATCATCAATAAGGTCAAAAACAAATTTACAGATGTCTATCTGTAAAATCGTCGAAGTTTCATATAAAGTTTAACTACTTAGGGAAATTAAAAAAAAAATCTTAGCGGATACCTGCATTCTATAGTATCTACGTAATATCCGTTTAGTATTTAGATTAAAACAAAGTTTTAGTAGTTTGAGAATTTGATTGAGCTGTTTGTTAATAGTCCAGAGCTGTCCAGTCAAATCGGTGGTCTTTTATATTAGGATCCAGAGAAGATTCCACATACTTTTTATTTTTTTTAATAAAATTTTATTTATTAATAATATAGCTGTTTAGATCGTTTTCTTCTGTTTTTAATTTTAATTTGCTTATTTTTCATGCCAAAGAATGTTCAGTGCAACTGTTCTACAATACAATCTATATGTATACAAAGTACCTTAAGTGTGAAAATAACGAGTGAAATTATGAAAAATGTTTATTGACATTTAATTTTAGGGATGTGATTCCGCTTTCGAAAGAAGTGTGAATGCATACTTCAAAAGTTTCTAGGAATCAAATAATAAAGTTATTTAAACTTAAAGATTAGAAACCTAATCTGGAAGGTTTGATTTAGAAATAAAATTAGACACCTTTTTTCGTCTGTTTTCTTTATCTCTATAGTTTTTGGTATTTTTTTTTGGCTTCCATTAAGAAATATTAACTTCATACATTGATAAACGATGTCCGTAATATACCCACACCACTCGCAGCAAAGAGATTATTAAAAAAAAACAGGCAAGCACAGAACCTTCTCCTTTTTGAAGTCGGTTAAAAATACACCCAACCTCCCTAGAACTCCATAGAGACCTCAGAAAAAAAAACACTTTTTAAAAAGGGAACGTCAAGGGTGCGTAAAATTCAAACTTACGAATATCGGCTGCGGCAAAGCGCAGCGCGGCGAATAGGAGCACCGCTGCAGCGGCGGTGGACATCGTTGCACAACGGTTGTCGCGTTGCAGCGTGCGCGAGCGGTGGTGTCGAGCGGCTGGCGCGCACGTCGGCCCGGCACTGCACGGAACTCTGCCACCTCTCCGCGGCTCGTATAAAGGACGCGAATGTCCGCCCTACGCCAGTCGGCTATAAACAATTAATTGCTTATTACAATAAACACGTTTAATGAACTCTTATTATACATATATTAATTATGGAAATCCTTCAAACGGAAAACATAATAAACTTTAGTGCTGACAATCTGTCGTCATGTCCTCGGTAATGTCTTATAGAACTTAATATAAGCTGGGGTCGATAATTTTTGAAACAAGAAAAATCAGAACATGTGGAAACCCATGTCAAAAGGAAGAGATATTAGGTAAGGAAACTGTATATAAATACATTAAAAAGAATTGTAATTACTTGACGACCTCCATGGCCGAGTGGTTTGTACGCCGGGTTTCACGGTGTCGCCGTCTCGAGAGGTCCTGGGTTCAAATCCCGGTGGGGGCAGATGTTAGTGTGATGAATACGTGCATTTGTACTCCAGTCATGGCTGTTTAATATGTATTTCTATATAAATACCTATACTTATATATGTACATTACATGTATTCTATCCGTTACCCTAGTATCCCATAACACAAACCTTACAGTGCTTACTTTGGGGCTAGGCTAATTGGTGTGAGTGTTGGAAATATATATATTATATTTTTTAATTACAACACCAATACTTTAACAATGATATAAATACACCGCCTATAAAATAAAAACCGCCAGTATGATAAATAGAAATGTATATTTAAATAAATTAAAAAATAAAACTGTAATTACAAATCAGTACGCCCATGCAAAATTACCACAATGATTGAAATGGTATGGCTACTCTCTTCCGGCTCTCATCCATATTGCTCTGTGATACCGAAGGACAACGCAAATATCCAAAAAAAAATACTTTTTTTAGTCTGTTCCTTAATGACCATGCGTCTGATTGTTTAAAATAACCAGAAACCTCATTATTATTTTAAAAGAAGTATATTTTTGTACTACAATGATATAATGATTTAATCGAAAAAAATAGCCCTTGCTGAGTGTCTTGCCGGTTCTTCTTAGTACAAGGTAAAGGACATCAACGAAATCGGCCCTAGCATGCCCAAAAGAATGTCCTTCACTATTATTTTTTTCACTTATTAGCAATTAATCATAGTAAACGGACAATCTGTTTAAAAAAATATAAAATAAAAGTTCTGTTACTAGATACTACAGTCTGTTCATCCAACTTGTCCTATTTGGTAAACAATCTTGGCACTCCTTTTTATTGAAAATACAGCATTAAAAATTAACTGATAACTGGATTCAATAGGTTTCAGTCTATAATAACGATTTATTTTAATAGTTTATTGGCTTCGTTAATATTTTATTATTTAATGGGTGATTCTGTTAAAAAGTTGTGCCAAGATTGTTTACCTTAATAAATGCAATGCGACCATAGGTATATAACAACATAAAAATAGAACTAAGGACCTTAGTTAATAATACTTATTTCTAGTATTTATATAATATTTATAAAAAGATTATTTCTGAAATTATGTAAAGATAGTTTATGTAATATCCCATGCAATATCTGTTTATTTTTATGAAAATCATAATGATAACCAGGTGTACATACCTAATTACCGATAGTAAAATATAGAAACAGGTAAATGGAAAGACTTTGAACATTTCATTTGAAAAGAAATCTATTATTACTACAGGTAGGTATAGGTATCATAGGTGCCAACTGCCAACACTCATAAATCAATATGAATATAAGCATTTATTATTTTTATTATTCATTGCATTTTATGTTCATTTAATGCATATTATTTAGGTGCTTACATAGAGGTAAACACTAAATCTATTCAGAATATATAAAGTGTATATCTTCTACGATTAAGTATAATAATTATAACCTCAAAATCTAATACATTCTGTAGTAGGCCACGGGTCCTCAAGTTGTCCGTATCTCAACAAATGCCTAATTAGAGTTTATGAATGATTCCGAACACAACTAGCATTTTCTCATTCCTGGGCGTTCTAGGGCATTCAATTTAGGGGAAACGAGCAATGTCCTTTACGAACCGATGGCGTAGCGTTTGACTTTCACAAGAGCTTGTAACAGCCTAGACTGAATAAATGAGTTTGAGTTTCAAATTAATGATATATTATAAGAATTAAGGGTAACAATTTAGTTTATCCAGTAATAAAAAACTTACTTAATTTTAGCTTCCTATTTTAAGTCGGAATAAAATATGGGCGTCACATGAGGTCATACTAAATTTACATTAAGTTACTTTTGTTTACTTCACTACCAGCAGCACTTCAGAATATCAGAAAAAGAAAAATAATATCAAGTATGATGATATCTTCTTCGTTACGTACTTATTTTAATGGCTTCGTTGCATATAAATTTAGGTTTTATGAAACAATTTTTGAATTGAAACCGGTCAAGTACTTGTTGTGCCACGCGCAGTGTAAGGTTCCGTAGGTGCCTAACGTTACCACAATATATTTGAGAAATAAGAAAAAATCAATTAATATCAAACTATGTATCGGAACTAAAATATCTATATCAGAGTCAAAGTACGTCTCAAACTAATTTTTTTTTCTTAATTTTTATGATAACCGCCGATATTTTCAAGTGCTTAAATATGTCACCTGAATATAATACATTGCGTAAAGATAGCGCGATTCAAAAGCCGTTGCTGTAGGTACTCCCACCGCAGTAGATTTGTGGAACTAATGATATTTTATTGTGGTTTCCGAATATGTATTTTTTTTTTGTTTTCAATGCAAGGTTTTACGCTACAATAACTTCATCTATGTCAGTATTAATGTTTTCTTTTAAAGATTTTTCAATAGGTAAGAAATTTTCTTTAACTACAGTTGAACGACTATTATTCTTAACTAACAAATCTATCTTAACCTTTATAATCTTCCTTAAAAGTACATGAAAAACACTATTATTATTATTTTTCCCAGATTTTTCATGCCAGTAGTTTAGCTTTAGGAAGGGAGTGGATGCCCTACTCGAACAAAAATTAACACTATAAAGTTCAATATTTCGCAAACGAAAACTAAATCGAAAAAAAGTCTTAGAAACACGTTGTAATTTAAATGACCTATTTAACGATAACCCACACGATAGAGTAGACGTTGAAAAAAAATCATCCCCAGGTTACATGTAGGGGAGCTACCCTAAAATAAATATTTTTCTAAATTTTATTCTACCATTTTATCGGCTTGATTTATATACATATCTCAACAAAATTACAGATCTCTAGTGCTAACAGTCTTCAAACAAAACCGGGAACGGACAGACGGACATGACGAAACTATAAGAGTTCCTTGTCAAGACTACGGAACCCTAATAAGCTAGATATTTTCTAAGGAAATGTATAATTTCAATATGATAGCTACAAAACCAAACTGATTCAATTAAAATATTATTACTTCTATAAATTAGGTATAACCAATCAAAATCTGGTATACAGAACACAGACTCAAAATTTGTGTTTACTAATGCAATCATTCTCAATCTTGATCAAGGCTTGGACGATGAATTTCCCTTGCAAATGAATCAAGCACAGAATAAGAACCATTTAATAACTTCTAAGGAATCAAAGAAGAGGACTGACGAGCTCGATAGCGCAGGTGGTTAGCGCATTCGGCCTGCAATCGTTAAAGTTAAGCAACGTTCACCATGGTCGGTCACTAGAGGGGTGACCAAAAACTTATTATTTCGAGCTACTTCGTGCTTTGGAACACTATAAAGTACATTGGTCCCGACTGCATCTGCAGTCGTTAGCACCCACCAATCCGCAAAGCCCCGCGTGTGGGATCATGACCCAGTCTCCCTATTCAATCCACAGGAAAGACTTGTGCCCCTGCTGTGGAGATATTAATAGGCTGATGATAAGGAATCAAGGGCTAATTTATATAAATATAATCTCTTTGGCCTAAACAGATAAATTGTATATCATATAATCAGGTTAGTGGTAGCCGTAGCAAAAACCTTCGTCCATGGTAGGATATTATTAGAGATGCATAACTTTATTTCTTGTAAACTACATTTGCGTTTAAAAATATACTAACGTTTATATTACAGAAGCATTTAAATAACAATAATAAAACGGAGCGTTAGAAACAATGAAGCCTTTGCGTCATATTTATAAAATAACAGTCTTTATGTAGTTATTAAAGTTGACCTGTTTTAATAGACGGGTAGGAGGTAGTACGACACACTTTGTTATAACTTGTTGCATTATAAGTAGTAACTATGAAAATATAAAACTCTCAGTACTAAATACATAGTTACAAAAACTCAACATATTAATTAGGTATTTGTTTTATTTGTTTGCAAAATTGCGTCAATTTAGAAAAAAATATTCGAAACCCAAGTGCTTAAGGAATAAAATCATAAACAATGATAATGCCACCCAAAGAAACAGGTTTCCTGTACAGACAAAACCACCGGCAAATGCCTAAACCCGTATGGCTCGGTCCGGTTAGTGGACACCGATAAGTTTAAAGGTACAATTCAGCAATGGGCTGCAGGCGACAACCGCAGGTGTCACTGCGGCTAACCGTGCATTATATGCATTGTGATTGCATTACTTAAAGAGTAATAGAGATTCATAGAAACTAGTAGTGTCGCCTGCAGTCTGCAGCTGCGGTCTGTGGTCTACGGTTCAGTACGGACTTCTACCTTAAACCTGTGACTTTATAAGAGAGCGCATAATATTACATAGAAATATTTGATTATTTACACGGCGAAGAAGAAGCAAAATAAAATCTGCTACATAATTATGGAAGATATGCTCGTCGCTAATACAATCTGACATAAGACTCACGCACACATTGCGCGTAACATGAGCCGTACCCTAAGCACGAACCAATATTCAAATAAAATTCGTAACGTTTGCGAGTCCGAAATGTCATTTTCAAATGTGTACTGATTTTTAGTTCTCGTTACGTACTTTGTGGCGCTGCTGTTCAAGTTTCCATACAAAATTTGACATTGAGATTTCGCACTCGCAAACAATTCAAATTCGATAATGGTTCGTGCTAAGG